AACGTCTGTTACAACGGCTCACGTATTAAAAAATAGTCGGGTTTAAATCGGGCTCGGGCTCATAATTACAGTTAATGTGTTGGACCGGGTTGGGCTCGGACACAAGGTGCACGGGCTCGGGTAGGGTCGGGTTTAATTTTTTGGGCCCGATCTAAGCTCTACTGTAGGGTCATATCAGGATGGGTACGGCTCGGGTACGGTTCGCATAATTTGCAATGGAAAACAGTCAGTTCATGGTACGGCTCAGTTCTTGGCACCAATATACTATAGACATGTCCACATGCTGCGGATTAAAGTTTGCAGAAATGTGAACTTTACAAAAAAAAAAAGTCAGATAACATTGTTTCTGTTTGCATTGTATATTTTTGTACTTTGCCATTTTATTTTGCCGTCAAGCCTTTCACTTCACCACATGGAACTTCAAATCAACTGACGTTATTTAATCGAAAAGACATTTAATGCCTTTATCCAACATGACTTTCCCCATCTATGCAGCAGGCTATTTTCAGAAATTCAGAACAGCACCAATGGCTTCTCCTGGGACTTAAAGCCAATATACTCTGTGTACAGACGCTTCCCGGGTTACGATGGTCCATGTTATGACAATTCGACTTTGCGATGGGAATGATCATTCAATAAATTACATCAGACATTCAACAATTTATTATAAAATAGGCTTTGTGTTAATGATTTCACCCAACTGTAGGCTAATGTAAGTGTTCTAAATGGTAAATGGATTGCATTTATATAGCACATTTTTGCTAGTCTTTCGAGCACTCAAAGCGCTTTACAGTTATGCCTCACATTCACCCATTCACATGCATTCACACACCGGTGGCGGAGGCTACCATGCAAGGCACCAACCAGCACACCGGGAGCAATTTGGGGTTCAGTGTCTTGCTCAAGGACACTTCAATGGGGTCAGGAGGACCCGGGGCTCGAACCTGCAACCCTCCGAATGGTAGCACTACCTCCTGCACCACCATCGCCCTAACATGTCTAAGCATGTTTAAGCTAGGCTATGATGTTTGTAAGGTTAGGTGTACTATATTAAAATGCATTTTCGCCATATGATGGGATTACGTTCCAATTAACCTATCGTAACTCAGGGAACGTCCGTAGTTGGAACTATTCTCTCATTTTACAGTTGTTCAGGTCCGAGGGTGAAGTTGAATTAACCGAACTGGTGCCTCGATCGGTTTTGTTTTGTGCAATCCCGCCTTTTGGCGTTGAGTGAAGGAGCCTAACTGGTAACACAAGGAAGACCGGGCGCCTTTGGGCAGTTGGCGGATACACAAATCGGCAGATGCACAAGTCAGATTCAAGCCATCTGGCTTCTTTCTTACAGACTCAGGTTGACCCTATAAAATCAGCATTAAACAGGTTCTTAAACAAAACCTCACATTAAGCACATTGCTTTATGAAATAAGACAATTTGGGCAGGACACTCACCTGCATATGCCACGTTCTTGGGGTTTCCGTATGGGGCCCCCGCCTGCACGGGGCTGTAAACAGGGTTCATGGCAGAAGATGGTCAGCCTGTGCTGCAGAAAGCAAAATGGAACACGTGAGTGGATCTGAAAAACCATGATCATCGAATATCATGGCTCTGCAGGAAATGCAGCACCCAAAGGCACATAAAGCTTGGAGGTCCCCTCATTCTCTCAAGATTTATTTATAAAATAGCTAGATGGAAACCATACAACATACACACCCTGTAAAATACCATACCCTGCCCCCCCCCCCATAAACCACCAGGAATATGACTAGAGGTGGAAAGTAAAATTCCAGTTGAGCATAAAGAGCCACAGAGTACTCAACTGGTTTGCTGAAACAAAATCCTGGATTGGATTTTTACTTTCTGGACCTGAAATGTCTGCCTCTGACTATGACATAAGACACTTCTAGAATGTTTGGTGTTTCAATTGTTTAAATATGAGTCCAAAAGCAGAAGGTCTGGGAGAATCAGTGACAAGTGAAACGGCACACCCGCTTACAGTAAATATAAAAGGAAGGATGAAGAGAGACATCGATAGCCCAGGCACAAGGAAAGCATTTACGATGCATTCGGATAATAAACATGAAAGTGTAAGGCAGATAAGATGTTGCATAAGCGCCTAAGGATATCACAGCTGAAATTACACAAGACACTTTGTCATGTCAAATAAAAAGCTTTAGGACAAAGTGACAGAATATTTATGAAGGCTACAAACAAACCAGGAGTTGACAGATAGATGACTGCAACGTAAGCCAGGAAGGGTGCACTAAGCTTGCTTGTGAATATAAACAAATGTGAGGTAGTTTAGGGCCAGGGAGCTGGTGGCAGTAAAGTGTGTCTCAAACCTGCTGGCAGACGAAGGAAATTCTGCTGATCATTAAAACAAGTCAATAACACGTTTTTAACACGTGCTGCAGACAGCTATTATTCAGAGAGAAGTTTATTTCACATTACTCATGGATCTCAAGAGCAACAGTAATCAGTGAACAAAGGAAACACCTTTATTATTACTATGATTGATTATTATGACAATGCTGATTATTATTATCATCAATATTAATAATATTAATTGTTCAACACCCCAAGCTGCTGCCTACATACACCATTCAAGATTTACAAAAGATTACATTAATGACAAAATGACAAATGTTGACCTGGTTTCTGTAGGCGAGCAGATAGAGTCTATAGATGTGAGTGCACACACCCACGCACCAGTCTTATGATGTCATAACATTGCATTGCTTTAATTACTTATTTTTAAAGATTTACGCAACAGCTCATAAATCAAAATATATCTTAAGAACTGATCATAAATCCTCAAAAACCCAACATACACATTAGACCAGCATGATTTGTGATGTTAATATCAACATTTCATATTACATACAAGGACCACAATAGATAAGGCTTCGGTGCTATTAAGTTTTTCATACTGTCATACTGCTCAGACATTGTACCATGGTATATGGTATTTTTCAAAAGCAACACTATCCTAGTGTTTGAAATCTTGGTGATAAAATTCACCAAGCGAGCAGTAGGTCCCTTATGATAAAATTCTGCCAAATGGCACGTTTTATCGTAGGGAACCACCATCCCCGCTAATTTGGTTGCCAAGATTCAATATACTGCGTTTTAATTCTGTCGCAAGAAACAAAACTTGGCAAGCTTAGCGATTTTAATGACTGTGCCTTTTAAAGATTATCCAGTATATGAGAAGGAGAAAGGCAAAAAACAACTGGTTATTAAAAAAAAAAAAATGTGTCTTCTGCTGTATGTATTTGGGATTCCATTAAAAAAAAATAAAAAAATCACCACAATATTGTACTGCAAAAAATTGTATTGCAATATCGAAATTTTTCCTATAATGCAGACAGTACCTACCCCTTAACGTATTACATATTCCTCACATCCAGGAATTAGGGGATAATTTTTTTTAAATGGTTTGCAATTATTACAGCACATAATTAAGAACAAAGAAATGTCACCTTCATAATTTTGCATCACCGTTACCTAAGTCCATGGTAGGTTCTGGCCGCATCCAAGCAGCTCTAACCGCAGGACCAACACCAGGGAATACCTGGGTGATGTAATGGGAAGCGGTCTTTATGCACTGCTCATCCTGAGCGCATGCCAAGTTCATACAGGTCAGCCTGAAGAGAGCAGCCAGAACCTCTACAGCAGAGGGACACGGCGGGCTCTCTGCCAGAGATGGGGGGGGGCGGTTAAAGTAACCTGAAGTTCCTGGCAGGGAGCGACACCATCTCACTTGATCTTCTGGAAAATTATCAGTGAAATACTACTGACTCATGCAAAGGTCTCTGGAAAATTCACACAGGATTCCATTGATCCCATGAGGCTCCTCCCATTTAAATCCCATAGAAATTAGAGGAGGGGAGCAGCACATTATGGAAGTCATTTCACCATGGAGGACAACAGTGATACCCCACTCATATTGAACTGGTGGCCAGATATAAACAAGCTCCTGAAGGGGGAGGGGCTTGTATCCTAGGCAACAGGATGCTGCTTCTGTTTTCTGCTGGCACCACGGTTCTACTTTGTTCTATTAATTGAATTTCTTTTCTATCTTATTTTATGGTCAGTTATTCACTCGGCACACTTTCTTACCTTGCACAGCTTACAATTTACCAGTTAACCCAATTATTTGGTACAATAAATTTCAAAGTGGATTAAATGCCAGCATCTATTTTAAATCATCCCCAGACAATGACAAAACATTTTTAGATAAATCGGTCCTGATGAGCGGTTTTGCAAATAAAGGGTAAAAACACAACACAATTTGGCAAACAGGCCAACAATTAACTGCACTTACTTAATCATACATTCTTCTAATTCAGGGGTGGCCAATCTTATCCAAAAAGGTCCGGTTGTGTATGCAGGTTTTCGCTGCAACTCCCTAATTAGATTACTAATTAGAGGACTGATTGGCTGAAGAGTCCTCACACCTGGGTTTGAACAGCTGACCTACAGGTTATACCAAAAACCTATATACACACCAGCCCTTTGTGGGTAATTTTGGCCACCCCTGTTTTAATTACTTTTTCTAGGACCATTTCATCTTGAGTGAGGATGCATGTCTATGGATCGGACTTCCCAGAATGCACCAGTGAAGGACTACAAGTTTACAAGGCAGGAAACAGTCATTCAGAATTTGCATTAGAATTAGCATGCTATGCAGTGTGATTCTGCATACACAAGGGGGCACCATGGTTAGACGGTCAGGGCTTATGTACTGGGCTATGGCTAAACCAGCACTCCATAAAAAGTGCCCTTTAATATATCCCAGCTTCAGCCAGAAAGCTCTCATCACTGGGGCTACAGCAATGACAACAGCACAGCAAAAAATAACTCAAGAAAATATCCAGGTTAAAACTTTCACGAAAAACTGAGACCAGACTATCAGACACAAGCTTCTTTCCCCCAGCAGCCATATCCTTCATCTTCTGACTACCATGCACCATTAATCGCTCAGTAGTGCTAAAACTTATCTAAATCATTTTAAGCGGAAAGATTAGGGCTAATAGAAATGACCCACTTGGCAAAATTACCCTGTACTGACAATTATTGGCTGGTGTAATTAATTCCCTTCAGGTTACTGTAAAGTCAGACCAAAATAAAGAAGCCATTGTCATCGTATAGACAACAGGGTCAATGTTTCTCATCACCGCTAATGACACCCAGTAATCCCCTGTGTGCTGAAGAGAAGATGAAAACCCTATGGAGAAGTCTGCTGTATCCTCGAGAAGCCCAAACGTTACAGAAACCTTACCATAGCAATTGCCCAGAAGATCCAAAATCAGAGTTTCTCTATGTGCCAAAAGGTTGGTTAAGCATCTGGGTTCTTCAGCTTCATCCCACCCCATGGTCATACCTACTGAGATGCTACAAAACGGTAGGTGGGACTGAGCGACCCGCGGGATTCCTTAGCTCATACCAATTTGTATAGAATGGTATGAATTACAAGTGAATTACATGTCACTTGGCAGACCCTTGAGGGTACAGCTTCAATGTACCCTAGCTGAAGTTAAATGTACTTTTTAAGTCTAATTTAAGGTACAGAAATGGACTCTGAAGAACATTTTTGTATCACTGGGCCCACATTAATGTTGTCTGTACCTTGGGGAACAAAACTGTACCAGGGCTGCACCATTTTTTCCAACTGTGTTGGATGTCAGGTGTTATTTTCTTTCGGGAGATTGACAGCTAAGTATATATGTGTATAAATGATCATTTATTTCTACCGCAGTCGAGAATTTTATGGTAGACCGGAGCAAAAAGCCTTCCCTTGCAAGTTGCAGCATTAATAGGCAGCTATAAGGATATGAGAGATTTCCAGTGTTTTTTGTTGGGCTTGTTTTACTGCTTAGTTTATCTGACAGCATTTAGAAGACAGTGTCCCGGCAACTAATTTTACCTGATGTAGCACACAGCCGGTCACTTTTATTGTTAACCAACTGACTTAACTTATAGTTGAAGACTTTAAGGCACAAATAGACAAAAAAGTCAACCTAACTCAGCCTTGATACAAGTTAAAGCGAAAATGCAAAAATAAATAAATAAAATAAAAATCACCTCAGTCTCCTGCGTACTAGCAGTTCTCTAACCCCTACACAAATTACCGTCATCGTTGTCATCAGCACGAAAGACTAATTACACACATTATATATACACATAACATAACGGGAATTGCAACCACCAACCTCTGATTTAATCTCTCAGGTGATGCTTCCAAATGTTTATCATGACTCAAGTCTTATTTAAGAATGCTGATATATTTTGGGCTTCATAAAAAAAAAAAATTAAAAAAAAAAAAAAACTGGATCGATGTATATAACCATCTATCAATATTGGATAACAACAGGACCTCACCCGCATTATCTCTATATAACATTTACACAGTGTCACAGAAGTATGCTGAAACAGAATCCAAAATGGTAGTCCGTCTCTAACACACACAAAGAGCACATTCCAGCATGTGCGAAACAGTCTAACGTCATGACAGGTACAACAAATCAACCGAACGATTAATGCGCTAAAACCACTTAGGACACGCGTTTTCCTGGCGCCACCAAGCGTTCATAATACAGTACTGCAAGTTCCAAACGGGTCAGTGGCTCCGCGCCGCACGAAGGGAGGCACGCAGGCCGTTCAGCCTAAGCACCAGTTCAGTTCCTGGTCAGTGTGTTGGATGAAATAAGAACAAACCGTAATTACTACGCCCAATAAAGAGCGTCGTATACAGAAAAATAACAGGGGGAAACAAGTCATAAGCAATCTTTGGTGATGGGCGAACGTCGTAAAAGCCTACATTGGTATGATGGCAATGGCTCTCGGATGGGCAAAATAGCCAGGGGGTGGCTGTGAGCTTACATTAATAGTTTTTATAACAATTCTATAGTATTTAATTGGATTTAATTAACCGCTGTAAAACTCAAGTTATGCTATGCAACCTTACAGATCGTAAAACGACTCATCGGATCCCTGCACGTCTTTGACTGATAATTTCAGTCAATAAATCAATCAGTTACAACTACCTAATTGTCAGCTGTGCGTCAATAAACTCATACCAACCACATACATGGAGAAAATATATACAGTACAATACTCCGTTATCTTTATTTGCACATATCTTACAGCTATATTATGATTTTGGATACGTGACGTCTGGAACAATTCTCTGGAGTGTCATTAATCGATGAAGGCCAGCTGGCAGTTAGGTGATGCATGATGACAAGCGAGATTGACGGGAATACGCAATTGCGTAGCCCGCAAAATATACCGAGGGTTTTACACCACAAGGAACAAAAAGTAACTGTGATCCAAACATGACTGAACAATCCAGATTCGACTTTCAACTAGCACCGTTGCACGCAACAGCATCTGAAAATTACTCTTAAGCAATAATTTCCATATAAGCCTACATGCAACGTTTATATTCCAACAAAAAAGGTTCCTTCACGCATGCAAAAAGCACTAAATTTCATCTGTTCTGGTTTCATGCACAGCCGAGATCATGCCAAACTTTTCGAGGGTAAATATTTAATTTAATGATAACTGTGCGATTAATGCAACATTCAGTATAATGAAGCAGATTTCAGGGTTTTCGAGATATTGACCATCAATAACATAATAAAATGGCAGTTCTGCCTTCAAAAATAAGCATCTAGTTTGATAATTTTCTGATAAAAAATAAATTCACTAAACCTGTATAACAACTGCCTTCAAAAATACAGAAGCTGACAAAGGTCAAAACGACACAATTACGAAGTAACTGGGTAAAAATGGCACAGCTTCTTTAGCTAATAAGCTAACTCTGCACCGCTGCTACCGCCACGGACAGTTACAGCTGGCCACCGTGCATTGCACAGTTATCAAACTGTATCCGTATTTAACTCGGATAGTTTGCATAAAATTACACGTTAATTTTTTTTCCCTCCTCCATCTTCAAGCTTTGCTATATGCACCAGGTTTCTGGAATGAGCGCCGCAATCGGAAATCCATTGGTTTTAAAATGGTCACACAAACTCCAGGCACCATTTTGAGAAGCACATTTCCTCATTGGACTGTTGTATGACAAGGGGGGAAACGCAGCTTACAGCCAGGGAAAGTGGCGAGAGGAAACGACCCCGCTGCATCCACACACAAGCGACCTGCCGTGTTTTACTTTTTGTGCATTCTTCTGATCCATATATTTATCACATATTGCAGCTCATTTAATGGAAAAAGCACACCGATCAAGGTTTGTGCTGGAGTTTGTTGTTCGTGTCCTTCCGTTGTTCTTTTCTCACATGGCCACCCTACTGCTTATGACCATTCTAGAGAGCCAAGTATCTGCGCCGTTTCTGTCACTTTTCCGCTTGCATCATACCCATTGCACCGCTCGATTGTCATTTGTTAGAAGAATAGAAACAGCAACATGAAACACCGCATAAAAACGCCAAACGCGCGTCTCCTAACTTACCGGATGATCTCGGTGAATTTACTGTAGCCGTGCGCTTGCCAACCCCCTCGGATCTTATCCCCCGGATTTGCTTTCAATCACTCGCCGTGTCCTCTAGTTTCTTCTCCGCAGCTTTTTGAGAGCGACGTCGGTAACATCGACACACTCAGGTGGGGGATGGGGATGCAGGGAGGGGGAGATTTAGAGGGCCAGCGGGCCAGAAAACCAAAGGGGGAGGACCTTCCCGCTGACGCGTCGGAGAGCGGCCGCAGAGCGCATACAAGCCAGTGTCTCTGCTAATAGCTTTCGCGTTTTCTCGATCGCTCCTGGATCGACTTGGATTCCACGAAACGAAAGCAATTTAACGCTGAGCGATTTAATATAAATATATATATGGCTGTGGCACACACACACGCATACACATATATTCGTAGTGTGGGTGAAATATTTGGATTTAAGGCTTGTGTTGCACTGCGATGTGGAAGTGTAATTAGGTCTACAACATAACGGTATTTTGATAAATTCAAATTAACGTAACTGCCTATAGTGGTGGATTGACATCCCACCCAGTGTATCTCTTGCCTTGTGCCCTAGAACAGACATTAGGTTCACCTGAATAAGCAGTTATGGATGGATTATTATAACACATGGTGCCTTAACTAAAGTGTAAATTCGTTCAGGGGGTTAAAACAGACATTGCGTCGACTGTTACACCACAGCAAAACACCGTTCACCACATAAAATCAGTAAACAATTATGTCAAGTAATTCACTGAAGAACAGCAGCCTGTGATCCTTTGACTTGAACCCGGCGCCATCCATTACAGAAGCAAACGGAATTCGAGTTTCAACATAATATCTCCGATTGTTTAGTCCCAGCAATGTCTGTGGCAGGAAAAGCCTGTTATCTCGAGCAAGCAGAGGAAAGGCGTGGCTTGTCCCAAGCAACAGACACATGCCCTTTTTAGGCGGCTAGAAAGCTGCTCCGTTACATCAAGTCAGTGCTGCTACAAAAGCAATATGAGAACATAGAATCGTAGTCTTCCTTGTCCTGCATTGGTTTTGATCGAAAATTTGTCTGTTGTTCATGCGTTGCTGGTTGTATCGATTCGCTTGACAGACTATATCATCAGACTGGAAGAAAAAAAATCAATTTTCTTTAATTAAGAGATGTTGTTATAGCAATGTTTTAATGTTTCTATTTTAAGGGGAAGTGTGCGGCCAGTGGACGTAGCGCAAACTGAAAAGTGACACAAGACAGTTTTCTCCGCCTCGTTCTTTTCGTTTTATTTTAGCCAAATTTCTACTTTAAATTCCAGATTCAACCTTACACCCAATTTAATGAAAGTGGCAATTCAACTGTTTACCATAATATTTGTTATAGTTATTTTTGTTCACTTTTATCATTTTGGATACAGTCTGTGTTATGTGTTTCTTATTTCACTTTCAAAACTACAAAACGCATAAATTTAATCTTTTGTCACATCACTAACGATACGATTGAATGGTAAAACTATAGAAACTCATCGATCCTGCAGATTACCTCCCCACAAAATTATGGATTTATTTTTAGATCCCTCTCAACAGTTCCTCGGCATTTGTTAGCCCGATTCGAATTATTCTGCATTCTTTAGCTATGGTTTGGTAATATTCTAGTCTGCTACAATAGCACAGTTTGCTATTGAACAATGGCGCACCCTAGTGATTAAAATGTGTATCAAAGGGAGACGTACTTAAAATGTGGCTAATGGCTCCACCTAGTGAATAAAATGTGTTTATGACAGAAAAGGACTACTGAAGGTCATGGAATTACCATCGAAATTTCTTCACTGATACGTGCAACAATAATTGTTTTGATAGAGGATAGTAGAAGCAGCAAAGTAGGGTGTTTATCTTCAATAATTTGTATACCTACATATATTACCATCAGATATAAATAACCATGACATTACACGGCGTTATACATACACGACAATATTTTCATTTCATATTATAAGAATAAAACCGTAAAGAGTCGCAGTCCTATGATGTAACACAATGAGGTAATTTACGATTGGACTTCTTGGTCATGTGCTTGTTTGCAGATTTTCGACCCCAGTGGGATTAATCATCTTTACCACGATGCGTTTTTTTTTTGTTGTTGTTGTTGTTTGCTATTTCACCCTATGGGTTTCCGTTTTCAAAATGTACTGAATTAGTCATCCAAACGCTAATAAAACCCTTGAAGGATAACACAAAAATATACGTAGTGCAATGATTAATATGGATAATCCAGCGAGGTGTCGATCAAACTGCGGTGCCGGTTGTCAGGGTCTGGCAGTTTGTAATTAGGGAATCGAAAAGGAGGATAAACTTCTTTTTCTGTGGGCAATTGTTCCGTTGATCAGTTGGACTAGTGTTGGTTATGAATGCATTTATTGTTCAAGCCAAAACCGGTTTTTTGTGAGCTCTTCTACTTAATTAACATGGAAACTGTTATCTTGACTACTACAAAATATTCATAACAGATAGATAGATTTTATTGATTCTGAAGGAAACTTGCCGAAGTACATAAAATACACAATAGAATAACACTAGGATTGCTGAGGTAGAGAGTGCATCTATGGATGTTGTGCAAATGGTATAGGTCAAAGTGATTATTAATGCAAGAATAATAATTACTACTGTACATATATATAATAGAGAATGTAAATTTAAAAGATATAAAGAAATCAAACAGAAAATATATGATATATGTGAAATATATAATCTTTATACTATCTTTAATATAGTAACATAACACACTATATATATACTAATATGAGCATTCGGTAATAAATACATCTGCAGATCTCCTGACTTTTTGCTGTGCAGCACCTGGACCCCTGTGAAACGACTGGGCAAAGAGAGAATTATCTCTTGTTGCCAGGAACAGATTCAGGTCACAGTTCTGGTAGGTTAGAAGTGGGTGGGGTCAAGGTAAAGTAATTCTCACGTGTCATTGCTTAAGCCACAGAGCTATCAGCTCCCTGTGGACTACAACATTCTCAACACACTTCACTGCATATCGTGGACTGGAACCAAACAAGCAGCATGGCGTTGATGAAGTCTGGGTGGCTCTGGAGGCAAAGTGAGTCTTTCAGCTTCTTCTCCCTGGTTTCCATCAGGAATCTTTGGAGCATTTGGATATCTGCAGCCATGCTTGTGAACTAAGGGCAGGATTAAAAGCTGAAATAACCTGACCCATCTGTTGGGTTCAAATAACAAATATAGCACTAAGAAGCAGGCCTCAGGAGCATATCAGACTGATGGTAGTGTCAGCACAATGAGATGCAGATGTATTTGGTTTTGATTGCTGGTTTGACTTCATGCCTGACATAGATTGCCACTCGACTGGAGCGCAGGGCTGCTTTATGGTGTCCAATTTCCCTTTAAATCAGATGCAGTAGCAGCAGTGAAATGGAGATGAAAAGTGAGACGGGGATAAGGAGCATAATGGTCTAAATATAGGATGAATTCACAAGGGAAACAGATGATACCAAAACAGAGTGATGGACTACTTGGTTGCTGTTAACGTTAGATGACCGGAAAGGAAGCATTTCTTTGTGTGCCAGAAATCCTCAATTAACAGGGCTGTAATTGTCTCATTTTCATTTTGCTTCTGCAGTTGAAAGAAGAACTAAATAGAATTTTTTTGGGATACCCAGAGGTACTAAAGTTATGAAACTTGAATTCGTTAAGCAGTGACTTTCCAAGGGGTAAATTTTGCGTGATTGTCAGTGATTGAAAAGGGGCACTCAGAACCTCAAAAGAGGGACATTTTCGATCATTTGGTCAAAAGGGGCAGGGGCCTCTGGCACCCTCAGTGCCCCCCCCCCCCCCACACACACACATGTGCTTGTGTTAAAGTCTTTCTAATCCAATTACTTGGCCAAGAGAAGGGTGAGTTGGGGGAGGATGAAGCCACACTTTCAGAGATTCATTACATGCAAATAAATTTGTCAACAGAAATTTGTTTAATTAACAAAGTACTATATTTCAGACACAGAGAAGTGTGTAATACACACAGAAATAAATTACTAGGCATGTTGCAGCCTGCAACATCTGTAGCTTTAAAATGTGACTGGTTACTTACATATATAATTCTGTGTATGTACATAGGTGTCTGGAGTATGTGAACACTTTTCTGGGTGTGTCAGATGGAAATCTGGAATATGATGTAACGGAAATTACAAGTAGGGTGAATATGCTCACACAACTGATATTATATCAGTCTATTAATCTATGTAGTTAAATCACTTTCAATGTGAAACTGTTACATTATTCAGTTAAGATATTAGATGGAGTACACACTGGAAAAGGTTGTAATGGAGGGGGCGGCAATGGTAAAGTTGTTGATTGGGGCACTGTGGGTTAGATAAGCTGATGATCCATAGCCACACCCATGGGACAGACCAGGGTTTATTTATTTTAGGATGAACATCTTAAGAAATAAAATAAATAAAATGACATTGTCCTTGGGGGGTGGCATTTTGGGGGGGAGAGGAGGCATGGTCCAGAAATGCTCCCCATGGGGGCAGAGTTCCCAGCTGGGAATTCAATGTTTTTAGTATGTTTCACACTTTGACCTTATGACCCTAAGGCTCCATCCTCAAACGCTGGAAGATGAACTGGTGTGATCTGTGGATCGATGGCAGTTTGATGTTTTACAAAACGGAGAGCCGGCGGAACCACGAGAGCCGCATCCGCCTGAAAATCCAGTCCGTGGATGTAAAAGCAGGACTGGAATGTATGGGTGGGTGACAGTGCTGCACACCACAGCATGAAAAGAAACATATGTCAACTGGATAGACCCCTGGTAGTCAGATTCTCATGAAACGTCTTACAATTGGACTACTTACTTCTGTGTGTATGTGTGTTGATATGACGTGACGCAAGATACCAGGTGTGAGTATAACACCAGCTATGTATTATTTGCAGGGCCAAGTCATGACCGAAATTACCGAAATTTTTGCCACCCCTGGAATTTTTCCAGAAAATGCACAATTTCTCCCAGAAAATTGTTACAATTACAAATGTTTTGGTATACACATGTTTATTTCCTTTATGTGCATTGGAACAACACAAAAAATTGAGAAAAAAAGCCAAATTTGAAATATAGTGAACTCAAAAACAAAATTATTGGCACCCTCAACTTAATATTTGGTTGCATGCCCTTTGGAAAAAATTGAAATGAATCGTTTCCTATAACCATCAACAAGCTTGTTACACTTCTCAACTGGAATTTTCGACCACTCTTCTTTTGCAAACTGCTCAAGGTCTCTCAGATTTGAAGGGTGCCTTCGCTCAACAACAATTCTGAGATCTCTCCATAAGTGTTCAATCGAATTTAGATCCAGACTCATTGCTGACCACTTCAGAACTCTCCAGCGCTTTGTCTTCAACCATTTCTGGGTGCTATTAGAGGTATGTTTGGGGTCATTGTCTTGCTGGAGCACCCATGACCTCTGATGCAGACCCAGCTTTACATTGCGCCCCAAAATCTTTTGGTAGTCTTCAGATTTCATGATGCCTTGCACACAATCAAGGCATCCAGAGCCAGAGGCAGCAAAACATCCCCAAATCATCTTAGAACCTCCACTACATTTGACTGTAGGTACTGTGTTCTTTCTTTGCAGGCCCCATTTAGTTTTCTGTAAACAGTAGAATGATGAGCTTTACCAAAATGCTCTACCTTGGTCTCATCTGTCCACAAGACATTCTCCCAGAATTATTTTGGCTTCCTCAAGTACAATTTGGCAGCAGTGGGGTTCTCCTGGGTCTCCTGCCATAGCATTTCATTTCATTCAGAGGTTGACGGATAGTTTGAGCTGACATTGTTGCACCCTGAGTTTGCAGAACAGCTTGAATTTGTTTAGAAGTTGATTGGGGCTGTTTATCCACCATTCGGACCATTGCAGTCTTTTATCAATTTTTCTCTTCCGTCCACGTCCAGGGAGATTAGCTACAGTGCCATGTGTTGTGAACTTCTTGATTATGTTGCGCGCAGTGGACAAAGGAATATGAATATCTCTGGGGATGGACTTGTAGTCTTGAGATTGTTGATATTTTTCCAGAATTTTTGTTCTGAAGTCCTCAGACAATTCTCTGCTCTTCTTTCTGTTCCCCATGCTTAGTGTGGCACACACAGACACACAACAGAAAGGTTGAGTCAACTTTTCTCCATTTTAACTGGCTTTGGGTGTCATTGCTATATTGCTAGCACCTGTTTCTTGCCACAGATGAGATGAGAAATTTCCACACGATTTATCCACAATTTTGAAAAGGTGGCAATATTTTTGTCCATCCCATTTTTTGTGTTGGTCCAATGCACACAAAGGAAATAAACATGTGTATACCAAAACATTTCTAATTGCAACAATTTTCAGGGACAAATGGTGCATTTTCTGGAAAAATTCTAGGGGTGCCGATAATTTTGGCCATGACTGTATGTACTAGGGCTAGTTTTTGCCAATCAACTCACGATAAAACACTCATCACGATACCAGTGTCACGATTCAGTATATCACAATGCATCACGATATCACCACTGTATCCTGATAGTTAACATTCCAAAATTGACATAATGGAACTACTGCAATTTAAAACAGGTCAAATTTAATTAACAGGCAAGAACAGCATGTAACTACCAGGAATTTGTCAGTATGAATGAAGATGTTGTACACTTCATCTCCGCTTTGCTTAGACTCTGCATATCTTTGTGCATACATAAAGTGCACATTTTGTTTTTAAAACAGCCAATTTGGAAAAAAACATGTAGAATGAATGATTTGATTTGTGCTTTAATATTTCAGAGGTAGACATCACTTAGCTTAGGCTACATAAACAGCATATTTTTAATCAACAAATGTTGAAAAATGTTTGTGATTTAAAACATTTGACTGTACCATCTGCCGATGTTAAACGGTACTGCAATAAATTAAGAATTCAATGCAAATATTTAAAATATTCATGAAGAACCGTGACAAACTTAATAGCAATATATCAATTAATGGTAACTACCTGATGGGACACAAACAATTAGTAATAACTCAGTTACTACTGAAGTACAATTTATGAACAAATCATGAACAAATATAGTTGCTACTTGAGATAAAAGATACGTCACGATTAGTTAATGATGAACAAACATGAGATCAGTATTTCACTTGAGTTATTCATTACTTGTTCCTTGAGTAGTTCACAAAGGTTTACAGAATAAACAGATATAGTAACAAATATAGTAACTGCTTGAGATAAAACGTGTCATGATTCTTTAATGATGAATTAACATGAGATTAGTTTGTAACTAAGATTTCATTTGTGGTTAATTAATACATAAGTAATAGTATAGTACTACATTATTTGTGCCCCGTCAAATAAAGTGTAACCCGGTTAATTGCAGCATTGATTCAGCTCTAGTATATATCATGTTTAGGTGTCATTCCCCCAGAGGGACATCCAAAGGAGAATTTGGTGGTGGTGGTTCTGAGAGACAGATCCTCCATTGTGATGTGTGCCAGCAGTGAGGATGAATCACTGTGAGTCATCCATTTATGTTTTAGCTCTTCCTCCTTGTCCATTAGGAAAACACCCTCCAGGTCATTTCTGATTGCTACTTGCAGGGCATGGAAGCTGACAATGATGGAGGCCAAAAGAAATACAGTAAGTTTTTGTTTACCGTAGTGAGTGAAAGGCTGTGTGCTTTATGGAGGAAACAGGGCCTACTAGAACAACACTTCTGAGCTCTGAAGTTGGACAAAAATTTTATTGTTTCCATGATCATTTACTGCCTGGTTAGTCACACTATTTGTGGTAGTATAGATGTAACATCTGGATGGTGCTATACCTGTTGCCAATGTGGTGTGTTTTCAAGGATCACTGAATGCTTGCTGAGGTCACAGGACAATTATATGCAAAGAACCCAAGGCTGAACATGCCAAAGGCAGAATGAGGTAGTTCTTCTATAGGAAGCTAGAATCTGGACCAGCTATTTTTAGTGGAGTGATACTCTGTTCCTCAGGTATACATGTACAACCCCTATGATGATGGATACCAGTATGTCTCAGTGGACAGTCACAACGCCGTCTACATAAATCCTGATTATGCCAACGGAGGTAACACCACAGCACACGTCTGTTCCATCCATACAGTGTATTTGACCTTATCTTAGCCTGTAAATGTAACTTTTTACTATAGTCTTTCATACTAAATTGCTCACAGGAGTTTTACTTACACAAAAACTTTCTGATGGCAGAATGAAAAATGATTGGTTCAGAGAGATGACCAATCAGATTGTAGAGGAGGTGGGACAGATCAATCAGATGTCTTGGACCCACCTCCTCTACAATCTGATTGATTATTTCTTTGAACCAATCATTTTTCATTTTTGTGTAAGTAAAACTTGCATGAGGTACTAGATTGCTTGCTACTGTTAGCACTAATTTATTATGTAAAAAGGAAACCTCCATGTGTGAAGTGATGCTGACCCTGCTCTTCCTCTTCACCTCCTGTCCTTAATAGGCATTCACCACATACTGGTCCATCAGCAGCGCAGAGATGGGATAGGGGAACAGGTGGCACTGGGGCTCCTGGCTGGGATGGCCACAGGGGCGGCAATGCGGTCTTTCTTGTGCATGCCCTTCTGGTTTTGCTGAAGGACTTAGGGGAGGTTGAACCACTGCTGTCAGTCTCACTGTACTGGAAAATGTTGATGTATGAGAAACAGCAGGGACTAGGGGTCTCAGTGTGACCCGTGGTGATACATTACAGTCCTTTACAAAGACAATCTGCTCTTGCAAGGGACATTTATGACCCTCATTTACCTGTAAGGCATTTCAGGATGATCTTGCCCTGTTATGGTGTCAGTCTTAAATCATCTTTGTGAATCTAGAATTATTATTTTCTTAACTAAAAACATCTGCACTTCCAGTATACAGTTTTTGATGTTTTATAACTGTCTGTGAAATCTATGCACTAAACCAAAACTGATACAGGTTGTACCTGTCAGCATGTATTCTAGTTCAGCCATAGTGTAATTTAATAGAATCCCTCATTAAATGAACCCTATTAAAGTACATAATATTACTGAAGAGGCTCTTGTGCAACACCCACTAAATAAAATGTGATTCATGCGGTCTTTTGCCTGAGATTCACAGTGATCCAGTGATTTGATCATAAAGAAGCAGACTTTTGTGGGTTGGCCTTAGCACCATCAAAGATAGATGTTTGGATGCAGATACCAGCTGATCACTAAGCACATCTGCTCCATTGATTGTAACCTGGGCCGGTATGCATAAAACTTCCTAAGAATGATCGTACACTTGGACTTAAGAGTTAAAAAAATCTTAGCAAAAAACAGGACCTAAGAGCATTGTATAAAGCTGCTAAAAGTAGCTTTCAGCAAAGTCTAAGCCCAATTCCTAAGTGCTGACGGAGCCAGCATTTAAGTGTCGTGAAATGAGGACTACAAATAAAATCCCGCCCCAAATACTAAGTTCAACCAATAGAGGAGCTGCACGGTGAATATATTAGTGACATTAAACCGTTAATGTAGGGCTTTATACAACATACCTTTCTGTGATCATACCTTTAATTGGTTGTATGAAAATCTACCTAGCACATCACCAATCAATTTCCACTAATAGATGCACATGTTGTAGAAATTACGGGTCAAACGCAAAACTCATAGCAAGACATTGGATTCTAAAAGAAAACCAAACTGGACGACAAACAAAACGGTTCTTTTGGCACAGTTGGTGCTTAAATGGAAGGAGGTAGTGCGAGGAAAGTGTGGCCCAGCTGTTACAAGCACGGACAAAAAAGCTTAGGAGGCTATTGCAAGCTCCGTAAATGCTGCGTCACCTCGGACAAGGCGTTCAGCAGAGGAATGTGAAAAAAGGTGGTATAATGTTTTATCGACCTCCCGAAAGGAAATCACAGTTTATAAAGCAAGCATGCAAGCTACAGGTTTGTGTCATTACTTATATTGCTCTTTTGACCCTCGCTATAATAGATGATGATGATAATAATAATAATAATTATTATATTTTCCAGTTGCCAAAAACGTAGCATCATTTACACCTTCAGTTCAACTGTAAGTGCATTTTTAGGTGACGTAGGAGATTGTATCCGGTTCCTAATTAGGTTGGTAACAAAAAGAATGCCCTCATGATCGAGCCTGTACCTTTTTATCAATTCATTATTGTCGTACGTCTGCAGGAGGTCCTTTCTTCGACGGAAAGTGCGCGGTCTCCGTCTGGGTGCGCGTAGTGCAGCTGCCATCATTCAATTCCTAACTGGCTTAGGAGTCCTCTCCAGCTCTCTTAAATAATTTAGGAGCTGAGACCAAGTCTTAACACTTAAGAATGTTTATGCATGCCACTTATTCTTAAGTCTGGGAGTAGGAGCAAAATCACGCCACTCTTAGAATTGTGACACATTTAAGAGTGAAATTTTACTCTGAGAAGTTTTGTGCATACAGGCCCTGGACTTTGTGTTGCATAATGCAATTACTTCTGCAACACTGAATAAAAAAAATGAAAAAAGTATATTTTGGTATGTAAATTTTTTGTTGTAACCTCTTGAGACCCCACCCATTCATTTATGTCCATTGTAGTGGACATTTTGTTTTTGCATCTATCTTTTCACTGATGTAAGGAAACGTATTTATTCCTGTTGTACACTAAAGAGGACATGCTGTGAAATTAAAAATAAAAATAATTTAGAAAAAATCTAAATTGTAAGATGTCTTATTTACCCCAAAAGACAAGTAATCTAAAATTGAAGGACACTTTTCTCCTTGGGTCTCAGGAGGATATTGTTGAAAAGGTATGTCCTTTTACACAGTCACACTTCACACTGGGAGTCGAAAGTGCAGAGTCCCGTTAGAGTAATGTTTTCCAGATCGTCGGCAATTTGTTATAATCACCACTAGGTGGAGACAAATAACGTGCTTTGGTTTGCCGTTAAGTTTGCAGCGGTTTTAATAACGTTATTACAATCTTAAAAAAGAACTTTGCAGCATGATTATAGGTAACGTTATAACTTCGGTAGTCTCAGTCGGTTGGGAATTGCATCAAAAAATATTTGGCTATGTATTACACTTACAAGACCCTTAAAACACATCAGATTAAAGTCTTTTCTCCTTTTGACAGCTTAATCGCTGTCTAGTCTGTAGTACCGCCACGTGCATAGTGACTAGTGATTAATCAGTTGAATGTTGGCAACTTCACCCACGCAGATCTAAATATAATAAAAAGAGACGACTGATCTTCGAGCAGTTGGCTTCGCATGAAAATTGCATCCCTAGAGGTGCGAGGCAAGAACACTAATCCGGTATGGTTTGTATGTAATGATTTTCATCTTGCACTTGAAATGCACGCTGACATATAAATTAGCCTCCATTTTCTTCAATCTGTTGCCTATTTTATGTCCCTCAGGTAACTAATAGCAGAGTATTCATTCAAATCAGAGGTTAGGAATAGTAATTGGGAATATCTATTTCCTTAAGCTTAAGATGGTATTCATTCATTTTTCTTCCTTTTATCCAACAAACATGCAAAACTTTTAAGTATTTCTACAGTATTCATTTAAACTTGATTCAAATTCTTTTAATGACATCCATGGTTTGAAATCACTTCATATTTCAAACAGTTTTTGTTTATGGCTACTTCTCATGATATATTTTAATGAACCAAAAAAGATGATGCTGTGATGTGTGTTGAACCCAGGCTCACCGGCACCACAATATATTGATGATCTAGTTGGTGGAAATCTATATCAAATCATATTAAACTTATTTGGAATCTAAGTGACGACTGTTTTATTTTGGTCTTGCATAGACATTGTGTCACCCAGTCAAATGCAGCAGTTTGTCTATTTTAACGTGATACTTGTTTATAAGACAGTATGAGCATGATGCGCACACAAAGCAGAGCCCCGTTGGCACGCGGCGCGTGGGCCAGCGGCACCACGCCTGCGTGACTCAGCAGCTGAGGCAGACGGCGTAGGAGGAGCGCGGCCATCAGAGAGCTGCTCACAGCTGCCGCGGGGGCAGCGGACCTGTCCGAGCCCGTGCCAGAAATGCGTTTTTGCCGAAGTCACCCCTGCGAGATTCCGCTCGGAACCAAGCAAGGCAGCACGAAGTTTACCACTTCTGTGAGGAATGTTAACATCCATCCATCTTCTAACTGATTATCCTAGTCAGGATAGTGGGGGGTGGGGCTTATCCCAGGCAGCACAGGGCAAAAAGCAGGGGTACACACCATTGCAGGGCCCAACCTGTATGTCATAAATATATATATATATAAATGTGTACAGTGAGCTATATAAACAAACATACATAAAGTTAGCATATTAAAATGGGGGATTGTACCATGAGAAAAGGGTCCATTTGCACAAGATTAGATCCTGGATTTGTTAGCAGTACATGTAGAATACCACAGGTCTTCATAATATGTCATATTTGACAAAAACAGGAAAACATTATGGTTCTTAAGTTCCGTTTGTGTGTGTGTGTGTGATTAATATATGTACGACTTAGTTGTAATGAATGTTTTATATATATTTTTCTCCCAAGGACCATGCCTTCAACTGTCCCTCCTATGCAATGCAGAACAGTCACCCTGCTAACAATGTCCTTTTCAATCCTGATTCTGTCTTCCTCTCCAAATCTCCTCCTCAGATCCCCACCAAAAAAAAAAAAAAAAAAAAAAAGCTTTTTCCATAGTAACTAAATACAGATCTTTATTATGGATGACAAAGACACAACCGTGTCACAATGGATTCTAGCAGTGCAAATATGAGCTATTGTGCAAAGCGGCACATAGCGGAAACTCATCACTAGTCTGTTAAAAATGATAAAAATAAAAAATAAAAAAAAAAGAAAAGGGTTGCACCCTAGGAGACAAAAGCAGTAGACCCACTCCAGAAAAACACTGCATTGCTGGGCAGCTGGAGAGGAAAATTAAAGGAAAATGTCAGACTGAACATCAAATAGGAGGCTTCAGGCAAAAAAAAACGGCAACATGGAGACGATGATAAATATAATTACTCATGAGTGGCAGACCACCACAGGATCCGGCAAAAATAAACATTACAGAAAATAGATGATTTCAGGGTGGTGTTAAATAGACAAGTTAACAAAAAGACAAGTTGTGCTGAGAATTACGCTAAACCAAAGTTAATAAAGCTAGAAAAAAAATGGAAGCCCAATGGATGGATGTTAAAAGAACAAAACAATTCATTGAACACACTTCCCTTATTCAACAAGCCTCATGCATGTTAAAATCTACTGCAATCATTTACCCATCTACTCAGATGCAATCCTCAGAGACAAAAGATATCATATATGAAGAATGGAGACAAAAATAAGAACATCTTCATTAGAAAGAGCAATTTTTTCCCAAATTCAATTTATTCCAACTCCTTTCCAAACCACTATCATTTTGAAGGAATCTTAACATCTTGCTTCATCCTTTTGGATCTTTTTACATACTTAAAACCTTCCACCCATGAGAAAAAGTAGCTACAATTCCACACCTCTAAATCGCAGTATTATTGGCTTAGAATATCGGAACTTGGTCATTCAAACATTTCCACCTCAAAGTTAACGCAACATTATTCCTGCAAGTTCAGATCTGCTCTGAAATTAACGGAATTATGAGTTTTAGTCATGCGGGACGCTTTGCACAGGTTACCGTAGCAGCAAGACTGAGAATTCTGTATCCAACTCTGACAGCTGCTGTAATGACAAAGATCTGCCAAAACCTGAAGTGCAGGATCGGCACAAAAGTAATGGGGAAAAAACAGAATAAGTGAAACCCACAACAAGCAATCAAAAAATAATAATAAAATATTACAACACCATTAGTGTCCACCTTGTGCTCGTGAAGCTTAAGGTTCTGAGTAAGTCAGCATAACGACAACGACAAACAAGTAGTGTTCTTTTTCAGTCTGCCTGGGAGTTACAATCTTGATACTGATACTGCAGCTGATTGGGGTGGGAGACAAAGCTGAGACACTGGATGAAAGAGGGGGAGCGAGAGAGGAGGAGGAGAGGCAGGGAGAGTCGTTCAGCATTAACAGGAGCATCCTGTTTCACTGACAGGCTGCTCTGGCGGCTTCTCCAGCTTTATGTCGATCACTGGAAGCAAGCTGTCAAGGAGACGCATCAAACGAGGCTGTACGCATCGCTCGTGGGACTTATACTTACACAAAAACGTTCTGAGGGCAGAATGAAAAATGATTGGTTACCTCTCTGAACCAATCACATTGCAGAGGAGGTGGTTCCAAGCAACTGGAGGAGGTGGGACCAAGACATCTGATTGGTTGGTCTCATCTCCTCTAGATTTCCACCTCAATATATTGTGGTACCAGCAAGGCATGCTTTGGGCTAAATGGCACCAATTTTTCTGCTACAAGGTATGCAAAAAATGGTTATAAAAAAAAAAAAAAACTTTATAAAGAATGATGGTTCAACAGCTGTATCAACAGACAGGCACAGAGTGGGACTAATTTTCAGCCTAGGACCAGCCTGTTTTCTTTGTTCCAGGGAGAACTTTGATAAATGATGCCATAGTTCAATTTTTATTATCCCAGAAAATGTATTACCGATATTTCAAGAAGAAAATAAACAGCATATTGATCTGTTCAAGCAGTCAGACTTTTTTTTAGCCTGGCCTAGTCCCTTTCTAACATCCATCGTTTGAGAAAGTTCCAGTAATTAAGAATAGCAAACGATTATTGGTGGCAGCACACTGTGATCACTCAGTTATAGTGATCATACTGACGCATGTGCTGTGTATTTGGTGTTTCTCTATGCTGAGCACTTAAGATCTATTGTGTGTGTATGTGTGAGAAGACTCACTACTTAACATTCTGAAGTGTTGTTTTAGAATTTTAAAGCTATAAAATAATTTTGTTTCTGCATAACAGCTAAGCGGCCCACGTGGAATTCTCCCTAGTCTCCCGATTGGTCACTTCAGGCCTGACAACAGGCGTAAGCTTAAACTGCCAAATACTCCATTCATCATCACATTCTACACGCTTGTCCTATACTGGGTTGAGGGGGTCTGGAGCCTATCCTGGAAACAGTGGGTGCAAAGCCAAGTATTCCTATAGGCATCAATAATTGCTGTTATTGTCTGTTCTTAAAAGTCCAACCAAGGACTAGGTTTGCAAAAGCAGCCAGTGCTGTAACTTCCCGTAAAGGATACTGTCTTCCCTGTTCTTGTCCTGTGTGCTCTCCATTCCAGGCAAGGCGGCCGCCACACGGCGGAAGAGCTGGGGACGGAGGCAAGAACAGTCAGTGACAAACTCTGGGGGCTGCTTCTTCAGACAGCAGGTAGTGGAAGGCAGGAGGACCCCCCCCCCGCCGCCTGCACCCCACCCATACCTTCACAATCAAGGTATCACGCAGTTTGGATACACATTAAGCTGCCAGAGAGAAGAACCACATGCCTTACTGCGAGTGACCAGAAATAATACCGTGGTGAACCTGGAGGCTGGTTAAGCTCTGACCTTTGAGTCTTTATCTAGAACAGTGTTTCCCAACCCGGTCCCGGGGGACCCACAGACAGTCCATGCTTTTGCCTGGGAGCTGAGAGGGAGCAAAAATGTGGACTGTCCAGCAGGGAGCTGAGAGAGTGAAAATAAATCCCATTCTACTTTTCAATGAAAGTAAAAGCCAAGACAAGGACCACATTCTTTAAACTCCATTCACATCGTTTCCAAAGGGCCAATTGAAAAATTGACCCCCGAGTAAAAATCAGACCATTACAAGAAATTAAAAAGGACTACATAATGTTATCAAATATCTTTTCAATCATAGATTGACATCACAGGTCTCCAGGTTCATCTCAGTTTGTATTGAGAAAGTCCCTCTGCCCTTAAGACCCCATTACCCACAATTCCAAACACATTACATGTGCAAAATCAAATTAAAGCTAGGAGAGATAGGTGTGGGTGATGTTCACGATTCTGGACACCGAGGCACACTGAGCACAGCACAGCAACAGACAGACACCAAATTCGTCTGCTCCGTGACACACCCAAGGGATCCCAAGCACCAAGGATGTGCAGATTTCCAGGAAAACGAGCTCAGGAAGGTCACCTCAGCGAAAGGCTCAGAGACAGTACTGAATCCAGACTCTGAACCACCGTCGTGCTGTGACGTGGCACAAAGACCACTTCATGTTTCAAGGTCTTGACACAGGGGTCTAGCCAGAGAACGAGGTCCACACCCAGGCCAGTTTTTAGGACCACAGCCAGGTGGCGCAGAGTTTCGAAAGGAATCCATGGTGAGGCACGAATTGTACATCGAGCTCACGCAGGTACGCACACGCAGCGTCACGGCAGGAAAGGTAAGACACTCCACCCGCACCGCTTCTGATGCCAGCTCGCTCTCTACCTGCTTCACACCGTAGCCTGTCTTTGCGCTCGTTTCGATAAACAGAACGTTCATTTCCTGCGCCCTCTGCTCCCCTTCCTCAGTGGAGACATGTCTGTGATGGGGAGGGCCGATACACATGCACACAGAAACACGCGCACGCATCCGGCCACATACAACCATGCACACACATCCAGCAACGGGAAACAAAAACACAACAGAATATGAATTCCTAACCAGTACAGGGACACGTCCCGCCACCTGCCTGCAGCCGAGGCTCCGCCCCTATCCCAGGACCAATTACCTCCTGTCCCATACAACTCCATTAGTAAATTAACAAATTATAAACTGGGAGGTTTGACAGTAAACTGTCAAAAAGGAGTTTGACCTTCAGATCACTCTGCGAGTGGCGCCCCCTGCAGTCGGCGCATGGCAGCGGCAGCAGCAGGCAGGGTTGCGGTGGCGTGCCTCTTCCCACAAACACACTCACCTGCTTTACGTTGTATCCTGCCTTAGCGCTAGTTTCTATAAACATTACGTTCAGCTCTTTGGCCTTCTTCTCACCCTCCTCAATTGATACTTGCCTACGGGGATGTGAGCAAAAACACATGGGCTACCCGTAAATATGCTGGCATTTTAAATAGGCAGAAAATCAGGAAAAATCTCACATGATGAATGATTTTTAATAGTGCAGAACAAAAATGGCTAATCTACTGCTCTAGTGATGATCTCTTACTGATCTATTACTCCATATTAAACTTTTTTTCAGGATTTTTTTAATTCATTTGCACTATATTTACTTCTTTGCAAGATGCACTGCCTTTGCACCTGGCCCATTCTGCATTGAATGTACAGCACTGTGCAAAAGTCTTAGGCAGTCGAAGCAAATGTTCATTTATCTGAGTAGTATTTGTTCAGAACAAAAAAAAATACAATTTAACATTAGAACATGTGCAAATTAAGATTAACACAATAAAAAGTAACAGGAACTTATCTACAAAAAGTTACTGATACCTTATTGGATGGCTAGATGAACATCGCTTTGATCCCAAACCTCTCCTCAGTGACACTTCAGCAATACAATGTATTAAATTATCATCATCAGCTCACTTAATTCATTAATTAAATTAGTTTAAAAAGTCAGCAAATATGCCATATGATGTGGGGTTGTATTGAATGGTTGCTACAAATATTGGGGTGACTGTAGAAGAGGTATTGAAATGGCTAAGCTGATAGACTTACAGACATAATGTCATGGAATTACACCAACATAAAGATCATTTAATAATTTTCTTAGACTGCCTAACACTTCTGCACAGTACTGCATGTTCGCTTGTGCTCTACGTACTTGCTGCTGTATGCACAAGAATTTCCTGCTAGGACCAATAAAGTTAATTTAATATAAATCTGATCTATTATTCTTTAATCAGTGATTTTTCTCTTTCAAAATGCTTGATTCCTGAAAAACAAAATTCAAAGCTTTTCTTCGATGCACCAATTAGCTGATACACATTTAACTCCTGATGTGTTACTTTACAATGTGGGCTAACAGCCCGGTCTGACCTAAAGGATGCCCGCATCACACCTTTTGTCTGCGAGGTCCGTCTTGTTTCCCACCAGCATGATGATGACATCGCTTCCTCTCTCCGTTCGGACGTCGTCGATCCATTTTGTGGTCTGCTGGAAGGAGTTGACATCTGATGGGGGCACACAGACATCAGGCTGTCAATGGAGTGGTCCCTCAGTGACAGACCCTGACCACACAATTGAATGCTGGATTCCTTGCACAAGCACACATGTGAACACACACACATGAATGCCATTAAGAGGTAGCAGTGTTGAGCCTGATGTAGCAGGGTGCAAAAATATGGATTGGTCAGGACTCTCAGGAACAGACATTACTAGTTCTTTACAGAACAAGCAGTATCTGGCTGTATCCTGCTCTGGGGGTGGGGGCACTTCACACAAACAAACAGATTTTAACCGGTCTTGCAGCAAGGATCAGGAAATCGTGTGGGCTTCTGCATCTTCTGGCTGGAGTCTCCTTTGAGATTTGATACTGACACTGAGGAGGACTGAGCACTGACAATCTCAGGCTCCCTCTCCCTCTTTTGGGATAGACATAAGATGGAATATTCCAGTTAACAAACACAGACCTCCAGAATAACGAGGGGCATTTCGGTACCTGCAGCTCTATGGACTGCATTTGAAGACAACCCCCCCCCCGTTTTAAATATATAAATAAATACATTTAAAAAAATAAGAGGTAACGCAAGACACTAAACCAGAACAAGAGTTAACTTCTGGGACCATAAAGTGCCAAGGTTGCTTCAACTGCCATGTCTTGTCAGAGGGCAACACCATTTCGTATCGACAGCAATGTGACACACTGCCTCTCCCCAGTGATGTCACAGGCAACTCCAGCCACTCCCTTATCAATGATGTCAATGACAGCACCAGCACTCAAACTGATGTCATAGGTGACCAAAGCAGCTGACTTGTGATGTTACAGACCACCACCGGCACTCACTTGTGATGTCATACACCACGACCGCCACAGTGGAGTCCCGTATGTAGCTAGGGATAAGACTCCGGAAGCGTTCCTGTCCGGCCGTGTCCCACAGCTGCAGCCGCACCTGGCCGGTCAGGTGAGCCACAGGTGCGCGAAGCAGAGAAGAGGAAAGGGGGGAGAGAGAGCCAGTCATGAGAGGGAACAAGGGGGGGGGACCTACTTGTGATGTCGTACACGACGACGGCAGCGGCGGAGTCACGGATGTAGCTGGGGATGAGGCTGCGGAATCGTTCCTGTCCTGCCGTGTCCCACAACTGCAGTCTGATCTGTACGGGACGGACGGGGCGAGGACGGCGAGCAAAACACCCAACAAAAAAAGGAGGGGGAAAAATGAAACATGATATGAGGCGAAACAACAAAAAAAACGGCAAAATGCTCAAATAAACCAGAACCATGCATATGAAAACAGCATGCATCGAGCGTGTGTATGTCTCTGCGTGGGGGGTGGGGGTAGTTATCATTCAGTCCTGCAATGATTTAGAAAAATAAAAGGATGAAGCATAAGGTAAAGCAAATGAAAAGAATAAAAGTGGCCCGTGAAGAAAGCATGTGGGGGGTGAGTGTCAAAGCCATAGCCCTTCACAGGAGCTAGAGGATGAAGAACATTCAGAATGATTCGGCCTGCACTCTGTACCTTTCTTCATTACTACTGCACAGGATTTATTCTCCAAGCCAGGATACGGACAGGGTTGTACAAAGGACTGTGAAATAGGGGAAGTAGACCAACTCCATGTGTCCAGGCAGCCCAGAGAGAACGTGGACCTAAGTTAAGGGATGTACACCATCTGGGCCGCTGCCAGTGGTGGATAGATCAGTTCCAGAAAGTAAAAATACAGGGCAAGATTGTTTCAACTAATGATTTGAGCACCTCTGTAACTGTAACTATACTCAACTGGTTGGTTGAAGCAAAATCTTGGACTGGATTTTTACTTTCTGAACCTGAACTTTACTATCTCTGGCTGCCACTGAGGGCTTGGGTTCTACTGCAGTGCTTCTCATAGTCCTCAAGCCCCCCACCTCCCCACACCTTACACAGATAACATAGAGTCAACTAATCAGACGAAGTGTGTCTAGGCAGTAGAAGTGAACTGATATGTTGACTTGGGATATGGGAGGGAGCGAGGAAGAATGAGGATTGGGCTGAGAAAGTCTGTTCTACTGGAAAGCTACATTAATTAACAATAGCGGTGCCCAGGGAGCTGGGGGTTAAGGGCCTTGCTCAAGGACCCACAGACGTGCTGAGGCTGGGTTTGACCGGCGACCTTGTGATTACAGGCACACAGGCTTAGCTCTGTGAGCCACACACTGCCCAGCAAAGCAGGAATAATATTGATATTAAAATAGTCATTGTTTATTATTCTGTCTTAATGAACACATATATACGTCACTCGTATTAAGAAGGCCTGGATCGTGCTCAGGGGCTGACTCAGTAACAGCAACAATCCTGCCTGATTTGGAAAAAATCTATTAATTAGCATTCACCGGCCAAAATTTAAGATTACAGTGATTTTATTGCTGCTTTTGCCCAAATCCTTGACCCAGACAGTCCAAAATAGGAACACAGATGACACAAGGTGAGATCCCCAGAAAAACTATTTCATACACCAATATCACATGATTGGTAACATGACCAATGAAATGTAAACATGTCCTTTTTCACTAAAAGCCAATTTTAAATGCCACCTGTATAGTGGTCAAATTTGTCCTCTCAAAAGCACAGACTGAATTCTTTGCGTGTTTTGCAGAAACCTGTGGGGCATTGCTCTTCCAAGCAGACCACTGTTATGAGATGGATAAATCCCACCATCCCAAATATCATTACAGTTCATTCATTTTAATAAATCACAGCTCCACATTGTACTCCTTCCTGTGGGGGGGAAACATTTGAAAACGTCACTTACTGTTCTGTCTTCCAGGTACATCGTTTTTGACAAAAAGTCGATTCCTATTGTGGCCTAAGACAAAGAAGCGGAGAGAGAGAGAGAGAGAGAGAGAGAGAGAGCAGGTGAGGAGACAGCCCCAACCTTTAATCAAATAAAAACGAATACGTCTCCTGGACGAAAAGCGACCTTGCCCAACACCAAGACCCTTAAGCGTTACCCTGGCAACAGCAGCCCAGTAGAACTATGGTCTGTTTCCACTGCAGGGAACGCAGGAGGAGAGGGCAACTGCATTGTTCTGCTTGGGGACTGGGCGCGGCACAGAGACAGCACCCCCCAAGACAAAGAGCTGTCCAACAACCCCCATCCCCCAACCACTATTACAGCCATCAAGCTCTGCAACACGAGAAACTTTATTTCTGGTTCACCTGTTTGCTGGTCTTGCCCTGAGTTACACATATACAGCAGGGGGCACAGTGGTTAAGGGCAAGGACTTAAGAACAAGGGTAAGGCTGCTGCACTCCTGATGCAGTACAGCTCAATAAAATCTCTGAAATATCAAACTGTATAAACAGAACTGGGACTAGGAACAGCCAAGCACATCTGTCTGAAATGCATTTTTCTGCCCGGGCTGTATGTGGTCCATCAGATCTTTTATGATAATGTATTAAGCAATTTACCTTCACAGAGGGGTCTGAGATAATTATGATGTTTAATAAAATCAGTCGCACACTGGGACAACAAAAAACAAATGTGGGGCTAGTATTTTTCCATTGGTCATCCTGAATTACTCGCCGAGTCACATTCTGAAGGTGGGGGTTTTACCTGGTAGGTGTTGTCGAAGCTGTCATACATGAACCTGGTGATGAGCGACGTTTTCCCCACTGTAAGAGAACATACAGAACGTATGCGTCAGCAGAAGATGATGCAGGCATGGCAGTGATGTTCAAAAGGGAACGTAACAGCTAAAAAGCTTGTGTTTTATTAAATCCAGTTCTGGTTTGCCCTACCGACCTGTTCCTACCTAAGCTTCTGTGCTAGACTAAAAACCACGAGGGCCTGTTTGCTCAGGTTGCCGTCACTCATCCTTGCTGTCACACAGCATTCCCAAGCAAAATGTACCTTCATTTCTAGCTTTAGCAACACAGGAATGAGATTCATCCTCTCAGAAAAATCAATGGCTGGACCATGATTACAATCTAAACTATTATTAACTATTATTAAGTTCTTCTCAGAGTGCCCACCCACACACACACACACACATACACCTTTGTGGGGACCGTCCATTCATTTCTATGGGCAAAACCTTAATCCCAACAATGACAACCTTAACCCCTACCCAGCCCTAACCTTAACCATAAGTAACCAAACAAAATGCAACACTTTTGGTATTCATAGTTTTAATTGCAGTCACATATTTTTATAGAATTCAGTGGGTCAAAGTAACAGGTTTTTTATCACACTGTGGGGAGATTTGGTCCCCACAATATAATATATACAATTATACATAACCCACACACACGCTTACAGCAGCATGGGACCTCTTGATATGGGTGTGTGATTAGAGCTTTGTGCCAGTGCAGTATTCCACAGGCCCGGACACAATCCCACACAGGCAGTCGAAAAACAAACAGGGCTCCTGTCATGCCATGAGGAGGCGTTCTGGAAAACAAGCGAGGCTCCGGTGGAAGAGGTGAAGTTCAGCAGGAAGGACAAGCTATGCTTGTGCCGCCCCAGGCTGGGTCGGGACGCGGCCACCCACTGGGTATGAATGTACTGTCACCTGTGTAGGCAGGAAGCACATCCTTAGGACAGGAAACTGCCTACTGATGAAGCTGGGTTTCTGCAGTACTTCGCCAAATGGCTCTATGCGGTCAGTAGCAGCACACGCACACTCTCTCTTTCCCTCATTCACACACACACACACAGAAACACACAGGCCCAGATTGCGCTTCTGTGTGTGTCTTCATGGCAAAAAGTTCTGTTTAAGGCTCTGCAGAAATTAGATCAGTGCCTGGCAGTTTTTATAAAGCCTTTTCGTGGCCATCGAGCATGCCCCTCCCCCACCTACAGGTACGCTAGCAGAGGCACCAAGCCCACGGCTCCGAAAAATCGGTGCGTCAGCGAGCCATGACACCGCCAACACTGCGGAGGAAGAGGCCTGCCCCTCCGGCCTAGCAAACGCCGCACACTGGGGCTACAACACTAACTCTGCACATCTTCATTTTATTTACTGAAAAATAAAAGCAACCAACTGCATCCTGGGACCCAGGCTGCCCAGTCATTTACAATGGAGGAAGGTGAGCTTGCATGGTGTAACATACCTTCTCTTTCTTTACGGTCGCTTTCACCATTTAAAATATAATAATCTGCACTAAGCCAGAAACCAGCCTTAAATAACATTCTGCAGTGGTAAAAGAGAAGGCCATAAATAATGACTAACAAGCAATTTAAAATGACTGTTTTGGAGCACAGAAACACTGTGAAATGCTTCTGCATAAAACAGGTCAGAGAACCCCCACTGCAGGCCCAAGCCCAGGCTGAGGTCGCCAGGGGTAGATGAGCACTTACTCTTAACAGCTGCTTCCGGAACCTCATGGATGAGCAATACCCATTCGGAGAGTGCGGAGAGAGGCAAGCAACGCAGACATTGATGGGGTCGTGGAGGGAAACGACAAGACGGGGGAGAGATGAAGTACCCCCCGCCGCTGGCGAAACAAAGAGCCCTTTTTCACATCTAGCAGGAAACAAAATGCTTCCCTGAGCTCAGTCCCAGCCCTAACACATACCAACAGACCCCACCCCAGGAGGCCAAAGGACAGAATTCTAGAATACTCCTGAGTTATTTCTGCTTTATTGGATGGAGGACAGCAAATGGACACCAGACGTGTAGCCTTGACCCTAAACTCCAAAAAAGGACTTCTGTGACACCAAACCAGTGCCATGGGAGAGGTGCCAACTCTCTCCTGCCACCCCCACCCTCTACTGCCCACAGCAGACACGCATATACAAAAGGCCTTGTGACAAAAGGTATAACCCCCACCCCATATGCTGACAAAGCGGACAATGAACGAAAAGAAAGACTCAAGCACAATGGCACTTGCTGTCCTTACTCACACATCCCCGTAGTCAAGCTAAGATGGTACGGTGCGGGACTGACAAACGGGTGTGCAGACAGCAGGAACGCCACTGCTTAACATCAGCCAAACACCCATAAGATGACAGGGCAGTTCGACATTTGACCTGCATGAGGTCATACACAATACTGCCAGCCTGGTGGGTGGAGGGGAACCACTTTTTCAAAGGGTGTTTATCAATACCAAGAATGCAGAGAATGTACTTGCTAACTTGGTTCCAAGAATGAACTTGGGATGCAATGAATCATGGGACTGTTCTCATTTGGGCAAGAACAACAAACATCCAGGGATTTTTACGGTCCTCCGTACCCGTTTGCTCAGGTTAGCCGTCACTCCCACCACATTGATCTGATCACAATATATATACACTTCATACAATATACACATACATACACACACGCAGAGATATCTCTGCCAAGGACAAGTCCTATTAGCTGGGCTTGCAGCCTGTTTTCCCCTGTCATGACTTTACTCCCTATTTTTATGAGTTACCCACAATGCATCACTGCTGTAGGTCTACTGGTAAAATAATTGCCAAATGATACGAAATATCCTGAAAGGTGAACCATCTCAGTGTATTCCCTCGTCTAATTTAGTGTAAATACCTCCAATATATTCATATTCTCTTCCCTGGATACCCACTGACATTTTCCTTTAACCGTCTTACAAGCAGCGTTCCAGAAAGTAGTATTTGTGCGTTCCTCACATTTTGGATGCCAGGTTTTGTGTAGCATAGTAGGCCATTAGTAGTCCCTGGATTCTTGGTTTTGTGTGTTTCCATAAGGACAAGGTCGTCATCTGCTGGATCAGGGTACACTTACACACATCCGTGTCACAGACGTTTTTAGTGCATTATTGGTTCGGTCATAAGATAAGTGCATCAAATAACACAATCACTGTACGTAGCAAGTGCAGTGCACAGTTTATTGTACAGGCGATGTTCTGGGCTTGTATTTTTCTTCTCATGTCTGGGAGGAAGTGACAGTCCGGGCTAGACTGAACAGGATGGGAGGGGAAGCCATTGGGCATTGTATTCATTGGGCAAACTGGCTACAAACTGCACTAAAAGCTTCTGGCAAACATCAAACTTCCTGCCTCCATCTCGTCTGTTCTTGTCCTGGTTACCAGGATGCAAAATCTTCACTCCGACATCAGTGGAGCAACAGCTCTGGAACATGATACCATGGATCAGCTTCCTACAGGATTTACCAAGATGGAGGACTGTAACAGCACTTACTGCTTAACTCTGAGATGTCATAAGTGAGGCTGTATGAATGGTTGTACAAAAAAGGTACAAAAATGACAAAGGAAATGCCACTATGCAACTGGCTTGGGAGGTTTTAAGATCACATGACTAGAAATTCATTATAAGAAATTTAAAAAGATGAAAACCCCCCCTTTGATACTACCACCCTTTATTGCAGGTTTAATTGTACATTGTTGACTGCCCATAACCTCTGGTTGGTGCTTGGCAGAGGGTGATATGACATGTTAACCGGCCTGGTCTGTTGCCAGTCCCACCAGGGCCTCCATATGTGGACACAGACATGTATGAAGAATGCAGGACACCACGCAGCTATGCAACACCTGCTGAGTACATGCTTTTACAAGAGTCAGGCAGGGTAGGACAGGTGGATCCTGGATTCCTGACCAAGAAGGCTCTTAACAAATTAGAGAGCCGGCTGCCTTTTCAGACATCTGAGGCTTACTGTTTCAAAGTAAATTACATGTTTAGTTCAAGTCAAGAGACATGGAATCACAACAATTACCAAAGCAACCAGGAAACCAAGAAAGTTCAAAACTAATTTACTTTCACTGATCTTCTGGCTATATAGAGCACCATAAACTACAAAGATCATACATCCAACCAAGACGCTCATTGGTTTACTGACCTTTCCAATAACTAGCATTCAAATCAGACCATGGAAAAAAATGGAAGTAAAAATTCAAATTAAAACATACTTCTTGATAGCAATTATTAAATGCAACAGTCACATTCATACCGTCACCTACACCCACAACATCTCTCAAAATAATTGTTTTATTTCTAGGCCATAAATGCCAGTAGTTTGGTTTCTGCAACCACTACAAGCTGAAACTGGACAGAGAACCACAATGAAAAAAGGGGGGGAGGAGTGGTTCTTGAAAAAGCAATGCTCCAATTGTCAGTGAAAGCTAAAGTGCATTAGCACCAAGGACTCACAGCTAATCAGCTGCAGACATGGAAAAAAGTTCAATATTCATTTTCTGAAGGACACCGTTCCTGATGAATGATCACTGTCAGCCTGATTACTAAACCTCAGAAGGAAAAATATCAGACTGTTATCCACCAAAACAGAAAAGGAAAGCTGTGCAGTCCAGCTTTACAACATGTAAGTAATGTTTTTATATACATAAACTTAATCTCTAGAACAAGGTCTCCATCTGAGAAGTAGAATACAAGTGAAGACACTCCAAAAAGGAATGAGACCAAATATTAAACAAATAAAACATAAAACAACTGTACTCACAGAGACAACACAGCCAGCAGAGAGCTGACAAGCCGCAGGCTACACGCTATAATTGACCCTTGAGTTAATTACAGAATGTTGGCTATGCTTGCCACTTGAGTATACTAGCAAGTCACATCCTACTCAGCCATGCTGTCTTTATGGCCCAAGCCCACAAACAGCAGACCCCACCAGGGTAATTACCTACTAAAAAGGTTCCTGAAAAAAGATACACATCAAGATCTTAAACCTGACGTTTATGAACTGTAAATTCTTGCTTTTCAGGATGATGGACAGCTGGTTAAGCAGCAATGAAAGTATGAATAAGCAGACTTAAGTGACATACCTAAACAACAAAAAAAAGCAAGCATTTGAATTAACCATCTCATGACCACCTAACTGAAACCATAACAAGTCAGTCAGGCCTGTCCACCAGCACAAATCTCCTTCATAAAGTGGGTGACCTACTTTTCGGAGAAACCTCACTTCGGCAGAAAGGCTTTCACCTTCAGACCCCCCGCTGGCTTTCATCACTGGGTCTCTTATCTTCTCCCATCACCACTTAATCCTTCAGTGATCAACCACATCCATCAATGGCTGAAATGACCTGCTGCATGATCTTATTCATGATCAACTGGGCTGATTCTCAACAGCAGCTGGCTCCATTCTCACCAATAAACGTTCATTCTTACTGACCAATGGCTCAGGGCTCATACATCAGCAGCTCAATGACCATATGCATTAAAATGCAGCCCATTCAATCACAGTTTACCTTTTTATATTATTAATACAGCTATTATTCAACTGACAAATGAGTTATGCAGGTTCTTTGACAAGGAGAGGGACAAGAAAGTCCAGCCCAGTCTGGAGGCGACATCACAACAAGTACCTAGTTTATACTGGGAATACAAAGGATGCAGCCACTGCATTATGTTGGGCTACTGGTGAAGGAACATCATCATCTGCCTGAAGGACCAAATTTCGCATCCAAGGTATTTATTTGGCTCATCTTTCCATAACAAACAGGGAACAGCAGCAAAATTCATATTTCATAGGCTGCTTTCTTTCAGCCAGCCAATGAACAAGCAGGTCATCGAATCACCTGACCCGAGACAGGAACTGATACCTATGAGCTAATACTGGACCAAAGACCAAAGTTTTCACCTCAGCTAAAAGCACAGTTAAAGTCAGCCACATTTCGCACATAATTTGATTTCTCCAGGTGAATTAACACAGTGTGATGCAATCAATTGTGCACTCTGATTAGCAAACAGGAAGAAGGTGTGATACACCCAGTCACACAGATTATAAAGCCGTTAAATGACCATCTTAAATGCACAGAAATAATCATATCATAAACCTATATACTACAAACTTATATACTGAAAGTTTAAGCAATGATGTCATCATTGATAGCAATGGACTAAATCACCGCTACCTGCTTTTTCAGAGCACACTGCCATGTGAAACAGACCAATAACATAATCAGCAACCTCGTAAAAATGATCTGAATAGTATTTTCTTAAACGTCTGATTCTGGTTTCCTTTCCTAAGTAACAACTGATTGGCTTAATTCATAGTATATGACACAACATTCTAAGAACCACTCTGTGCTGTCCTGTCAAAAAAATAAACCCATAAAACAAGAACATGACTTGCACTATTGGGAAAATGTGCCCCTAGCAGTATATGTGCCAGGTACAGAGAGATCCACAGGGAGCATGGAACAAAACCTGACACAAAGAATGTTTTTTTCAATATGTACTGTACACAACACTAAGGAAAAAAACCACGTCATGAACAATTTAGAAAACACAAAAATCACTCAATACCCAGGGCATTAGAGATATGGGTCACAGAGAGATGGTTTATGAAATTCTGGTTTAATCATGATGCATTACATCCCATGTTATATAAATCTAGCCAACGCATCAGACCGAATGCAGGGCTGACTGTGTTCCACAGTCACTTGGACTGGTTGCAGACCTGACTGGACAGCTCCCAGCACTCTGCACCCTATGCATGTTCACTTTTCACTAAAGCAGTCTACCGGTGCCATATAAATTCCACAAATTTGTGTCCTTAAAAGCAGAGTACCCACCAGCGTTTAATTTATGGAGGGTACTGGTGTTTATTTTGTAAAACAAGACAAATCCAGTTGTTTGTATAGAATAACTATGTGTGATAAGACAGAAGAACACTCCGTTGCAATTTCAAAGGTCAAGTATGATAATGACAGCAAAAATCGGCATCGTGTCCCTCCCCCCCACCCAACATAATTTCGAGTCATTAGTTCATTGTCATGCATCGTCTTCAAGATGTTACTTCCTAGACAGTCACATAATCTCCACCTAAACGACAATCTCGACATAAAACCCCTCATCTCTGGTTATAAAATACCTCACAAAATGGCTTTTCTGATGATCTCGTGTAACCAGATACTAATCTCTGATTGGCAAGTCCCCAATTTAACGAGTTAACTGGTTGCAGTAAACCAATATTAACATGTAGTTATTCCTGCGTTACGTCTTCTCTCTGTGGGTGTAGCAGCTCTTCAGGGTTAGACGGTTAAATCCGTGTTAACCTTAAAAATAAAAGGTTTGAATGCCGACACTGTCAACCACACCAACCAGCTGCCGAGACATTTTGGTAACAACTTCAATACTAGTTTACTAGTCATCACCCAACTATCCACGACGACACTGATGAAAACACAAGCGGCTGCCTAGTTGAAAATAAAACAATCAATCGGGCTGCCCGGTTTTTATCCGATCATTTTAAGGAAAAAAATAATATAGATTACGTGACTTCACATAGTAGGGCCGCTAACTAGCAGGTTAAATAAGTTAGTCCAGCAGATCCCTAAGTGGTATCTTTGGAAATGCGTCGGTTTTTCGACCCATTACCGCTGCGGCAGCAAGCCAAGCGACGAGCTCCATATAAAGGACATATTTTTTAAAAATGCACAATTTATTAAGAAAAAATCATGAAACTGACCGCTCTGCTCGCCCAGGAAGACCAGCTTGAACTTCCTCAGCGGGTTCCCGAAGTCCCCAGCCGCAGACATGGCGCACCGTCCCACCTTCCAGCCACCGAGCCCGAGTCGTGACGAAGAGCGGCTCCACACTCGACGCTGGAACGCAGCAGAAACCCGCTAATCCAGCAGGAGAGAAAGACGGATCGTTGTTGGCTTAGGTGGATCGCCTCCGCATTAAACTGTCTGTTCGTTGCTTGTGTATGCCTCTTGCTCATATGAATGCCTAAGCCTCCTCTCCTCTCCACTGACTGTGCTGTTACTAAGGGGAGAGGCCACAACCGAAAGTGCTCGTACGCGACCGCTTGATTGACAGGCAGATGGACCAATCAGAGAACAGCCCCTGAGCCCGTTTCCTTAATGCTGCGGCCGCACTGATTGTATGTACAGATGTAATGTAAAATTCCATAACTCTGTCTCCCCCCTTTAAAAAAGTTCATTGACTGTTAATTTCCACATGAACTGTGCACCATTACCATTTATAATACTAACAATTATAATTAATCTGTAATGCTGCGTGACACGTCTTGTGTTGAAGTAATGTATATTATTATAGGGTATTATTGCATATGAAATGATCATCAATGGGCATTTAAACGCTAGAGGTTTTGGGTGATGTGTTTATCAATTCATCGTAATTCCAAAAATGTGCTTTTATTTTCGGCAACGTTTTATGGATCATGAGTGTTTGTAGGTTTTAGTATGAGAACCGGTGTTCTGTCGATATAAGCTGCCTTGTCGAAAAATGCTACCGTAGTGCTAATCGATAGCCCTAACCCTAACCCTAACCCACCCAAAACCCCTAAAACCCTTACCTTAACCCTAACCCTAACCCCTAAAACCCCCTAATCCCAAAACGGTGGAACTGCACATGCGCAGAAAGGCTCGATAGCACGTCTCGATAGGTAGTATTTTATGATAGAACACCTGGCAACATTCTAAATTATGACAACATTTGAAATATATACGAAAATACTAAAGGGGAGCTCAGATTCAGATTCGCTTGTTTTTTCCACATTAGACCACAGCAGCGTTAATCTGGTCAGAGAGGCGGAGATTCGCGTTCCGCTGGGTTAGGTTGGTTGATAGAGACGCCACGTTGTTCTCTAACGTCACATGGCAACGTCATCTGAGGACTTTGAGCTTGGCGACGTCATTCTCGCAGCGTGAATCAGATAAAGAGGAAATGCGGGTGTGAGTATATTTTATTAAGAAAGTTGCCCTTGATTCCCACGCTATGCTGCACATTTAAGCAATGATGTCATTCAATACCACGTCAAACTAACTGAATAAAGGATTTAATATCCGTGATTTATTTTTAAAATCTGTAGTCTAATAATATTTAGTGTTTGCAGCATAACACAACCATTGCACTTAATTACGTACGTGTTATACGATCCAGGGGCGAAGGAAGAAATACTCGGCCGACCGGGCCCCCTCCAGTCCAGGTGAACAAATACCCCCCCCCCCCGATTCGATCCTATTAGATTCTTTAACTATATATTTTTTTAA